GTGAGACACGATAAAGCAGACTAAAGAGTATACCGTTAGAGCAGAGAGGGAAGGGGATGAACTGCAAGTNAAATAGAAGAGGATAAGATGGTAGGGACGTGCAGCTCACATGGGAAAACCCGAAGCAAAAAGACCACTTTGGAGCTCTAGGCAGAGATGAGAAGATAATATTAAAATGATTCTTAAAATAAATAGAATGAGAGGCTGTAAACTCGACTTATCTGTCTCAGGATACGGCCTAGATAAGGATTTCTGTGAACACAGTAATTAAATTTTGGGTTCGGTATGGGTGAGGGATTTCTTGCTCAGACAGATGAATACTTCCTTCTCGGGGAAGACTTTGATCCATAGAATTTGCTTTAACGTAATTTTAACTGAAATGCAAGTATTAATAATCTTGGGATAAATTTATCGACAAAACATCAGATACAGTGGCCCCGAGATGAAAAAGGAACGACTTAAAAATATTTGTACCCATTGTAAACTTGGCTAAGATTAACGCTGTGAATTTACTTCAGGTAACGTCTGATTTTTGACTCGTCACAATGTATGGTATCATCGATTCCGAACGAAAATTGTACACACTAGTATTCTGAAGCACTGGGTCATGAAGGGACTAAAGATAAGCCCATAAAATTTTATCGCTTTATACGCTCAGATTCCTAAATAAATTCATGCCTCAAATCAAACATCCGATATGTTTAATTGTAAATTTTATATATCATATTGGATTACTACAAGATGTGTCTATTTTCCGGGTTTTGTTTTAAGAATCGGACTTTTTAAAGAAGTTTCGTTTTCTTTAAATTAACGGCCGTGGGGATTCGTTGTTCTGACCACGCAACACCCTCTATCCGCTAAATTTTGCACTAACTTCACCGACAAGCGGCGGTCGCTGGGTCGGTATAGTTCGTTTACGGACTAAAACCACCGAGTTTTTTCTTTCGTTCTCTTTTCCCGAAGATAGCCGATTTTTTATTTTCTCTCAAATAAATTTATATCATGTTACTAATATATTAATCTCGCTGTATTAAACTCCGGTTAAGTAACGGTAAACTGTAGTAAAAGACAACACTGCAATCTATTATTACAGTATTATAAAGTAATACGTTCCTTCCTTTCGATGTTCTCTTATTTACAGTCGTGGTGCGGTAGCTGCAGTTTCATTGCATTAAGCGGTTGTCATCTAAGGAAAGATATCGCTTCGTGCATCATAAAAACCGATTATGGTTGCCTAGTAACCAAACGAAAAGACACAGAGATCACGTAAAATACGGGATCTCATATATAATGCTTCTTCCCTATGCGTGTCTTTTTCTCCATAAGAACAATGTTATTGTAATAGCTTATGATGCAAAAATACACGCATCAAAATGCCGTATGTCTTATATTATTTTTTTTATTATCTCTTAACCATTATAATTCTTTCTGTTTCGTTTCTTATTGAAGTGTTATTCTTCCACTGTTTATCTGTCTCCAGAAGAGTACACAGAAAGAAAAGAATGCAAAGAATCTATGTTTTATATGATTAACATCTCGTTGTTGACTGTTTCTTGCATGCTGCTGCTGCACTCTAGTGGTGTGACCTGTAACTTATGTCCAAGTACACTCCACTGGTAAGCCATTTTCTTTGCATCGGCTTCCGAAATACTCACTTCGCAGCAGCTCTCATGCAGGCGGCATGTTGCTTGTCTGCTACGTATTTTTAGATGCTCAACTCTTAAGTGCTCGTTTCTGCATATATATACGAATTTCTTTCTTACTTTCTGCTACTTTTGTATCCAAATTTCTTTGAGTTAAATGTTGCTTTACATGTGCTTGATTACATTTTTATATGCATTGTTTAGTGCTTGAAATAAGAAATATGTTAGTTATTAATATTGTAGTGAAGTGTCATAACTCGTTTACACAGTTACGTACAGCTAACACATAAGAATGCTTAGTACTTCGCTTCCCTCTTTATCTCATGCTCTCACGGTGAAGTCACTACGTTTGGGGATCTCTTTACACATACTCAGCACCAGAACTTACCATTCAATCAGATTTCCAACTAACTGCAATAATAAATCTCCTTTCAGTGACATCTGACGAACTTAATTTCTCATCATATTAGAAACTGTAGTTACTAAAGTTGTTTGTTACTTTTATACAAAATTACATTTGCATAGTTTACAAATTTCATGACGATCTTTCCATGTACTATGTCATTTAACGGCTCTGTCCGTATTGAAATTATGTTTCTAGATAACGTAATATTGTGGCATGTAGGCAACAACCGCGAAATCGGAAAATATACAACAGCCATTGCTAAGTAACGGCTCCTCAAACAAGCATGTTTCGAAGGAAAAAAAAATCACTGCAACAGAGGAACGGTGTTTTCTACGTGGTACGTACCGAAATGTTATAAGCAGGGCCAGTTAGTAGTTGGAGTCAGTCAGTCAGTGGACTGCTGAGGTTCAGTCGTTGTGAGCTGTTGCTGTGAGAAGCTGGTAGCTGAGACCGGGAACAGTTCGGGAACCCAGAAATAGGGGAAAGAGTGTCAATGAAAGCCGCTTCCAAGCAACTGCTACGAAGGTGTGACTATGGACACTACTGTGTGTGTGTGTGTGTGTAACAGTGAACTGTAAAGTGTAGTCACGCACTATATCAAAGAGTCCAGTAAATCCGAACATTAATCCAAAGCCACATCTATGGTCACACTACATAAACAACGTGACAATATCAAGGCTACATTTTTATGCTTAACACATTTCCCTTTTCTACTGATTCTCATTTGTCTAGTCTACGACATGGAAAATTAAATTCCGTGGTGAGGGCTGACTTCACTAAGTTTAAGAAATACTATCGGGAGCGAGACATATGGGATGCCGAGATGAAAACTGAAGGTGGTTAAGATTAAGGGTATTCTAAGAACAACACATACAGTACATTAAAAAATTCAAGTACCACAATAAATAAAAACTGTGTGAACGAAATATGAAATGAAAGTAGAAAAACATATTACAGTTATTCAGACGTACATGCTTTATACTAGATATTGACGAATATTAAACATTTTTCAGACATACCAGAAACACGTGAATGCTGACTAATTACATAAGTACTGACACAAGCATTACATGAAAGCAGGATTTATAAATGGTGTCTTTCTATTTAGTAATAGTAGAATTAATTAATTATAAAAGCGGGTATGAGAGATTACTTTAGAAATTTATAAGGTAGTTCAGTGTTAATTGTGGAATTTCTATCATTTTTATTTTGAAATTTAAATTTAAATTAGTAGAAAAAGTTATTTTGTAGTCATAACAATTGTTATTATGCATTATTCATGTTGTTCTAGTATATATGCGAGAGATTATTATTGTACAATGTTAACTGTAAGCACAAAACATGGTGATACTCAATTCCAATTTCTGATCTAGATATAACTTGCAGGTTATTTTCAAATAATGAACTTTGTCTGTAAACTAAAAAGTTCAAAACACGTGATGTAAGCAACTATTTCTATACGTTCACTCAAAATTTATATTTTATTACATTTTGAATAAAATTATATGCTCATAGAAAAAAATTATGTTAATCGCAATGATAATAAAGATGCAGGGAAGTTAGAAAATATTATAATTATCCAGGGTAATAAGAAAGATGCGGTGGTTGCAGTAAAATTAATTAATTTGGTGTTCTCGAACACGTAACAATTGGCAGTTTGTTGTTGAGGCGTGATACTCTTTAGCAATGTGAACAACTGAAGGCAAGAATCACAGCTACTTTGAAAGAAACATTGGTTGCAGTTTCGGAAATGTTAAATTTCTTCTGCAGATTGTACTGAATACATAGACGTCATGTATTTAACATGTTTTTCCATGAAAAGGATCTCCTTGCTTTGTTGGTCTGAAATCGGAAACAGCGCCGTGACTTTAATACATTCCATTATATATACTGCGCGTGTTCTCTTTATGGTTCTGCAAATCATATATCTGTGTCAGTTCCGAAAGTCTCCAGTTTGTTTGCAAGTCAAATCAGATTATCTCATAATTCATGGACTCCATGTTAAAGTCATTTATGAAGTTTCTAAGAAACTAAAAGGCCGAAAATAAAAGGAATCAATTAGGTAAATAATCACCACATTTCAATTCCAAATAAAAATTTTAATTTCTTACAATGAAATGGCACATAAAGAAAAATATTTGGAGCACAGATGGGTACGATATACCATGTACCCTCGAAACTCATGTTTTTATTCTTAATTCAATTTAACTTTACGTGACGTGAAGTGTATAGTAAGAATAATAATAAACTGAAGGAAATGTTGCCAGCTGCTTCAAATGGAGAAGTGTATCGTGCAATACATTCTTTGATGAAGTGACTCGGGTTTTCCACAAAAGGAGAATTTCCCTTTTCCCAAGTCAATGAGTTCAAGATACGTTCAAAACAACGAATCTGAGTTTCGCATAAAACTAAATCTCTTCCGTAAAGCCTTGAAATGTAATTCAGTTGATACTGCTCTCATCATAACCACTTCAAAACCTGAATACATTTTACACCAATATAAATATTTATTACACAATATTTGCATAAAAATTTATAGTTCCTTTAGTAAGGATAAGAACACCAGGCGATGCAATGTGCCAATATTTGCAACTGCAAGTTAAAATAAAATTATAATTAATTCATATAATTTAACGGCTAACACTTGAATAAATGAATAAATATATAAGGGGTGGGCCTTCTCGGCCCTTGCACCGCTACCTACCGTGATCTACTGTGCTTCCCCTTAAGGCTAACACTTATGTTAGGCTTCACAAATTAAACAGTAATTCGCCATGCATTAGGATGAATTTGAAATACAGCAATGGAAATCTTGTCCTCACTTGTAAAATATGCATGGGAACTGGAAATTTCGTTGTCACGAAGTGACTCTTTGCGGAATAATGTGAAGTGCTTACGTTTCTCGGCAGAAAGCAAATGTTGTGCTAATGTTATGCATGTGTTGGCTCCAGGGCTCGGCGGATTCGAATTACTCGCAACCATCCTCCGACTTGTCGCTGGACGAGGAGAAGGAGACGCTGCGGCGCGAGAAGGAGCGGCAGGCTCTCAACCAGCTGGAGAAGGCACGGGTAAGTTGGACACTTGGCGCTGTGGCCAAGGTTAGGAAAGAAGAGGCAAGTGTTCTTATATATGAGGGAGATATGAACCTGTGCCAGCTGGAGAAGGCACGGGTAAGTTGGACACTTGGCGCTGTGGGCAAGGTTAGGAGAGAAGAGGCAAGTGTTCTGATATCCGGGAGATATGAACCTGTGCCAGCTGGAGAAGGCACGGGTAAGTTGGACACTTGGCGCTGTGGGCAAGGTTAGGAGAGAAGAGGCAAGTGTTCTGATATATGAGGGAGATATGAACCTGTGCCAGCTGGAGAAGGCACGGGTAAGTTTGACACTTGTGACCGTAAGGTTCGGATAGAGAAAACAGATTTTGTGATATTCAGACAATTAAAAATGAATTTATGAGACTGACCCAGTCAACTGAAATTAAGCTCCTGAAACTGTAGATGGATGTTTCGGGCATACGGCTCAATGTTCTAATAATCCGGTAATTACTGTTGATATATGAGTTTGAAAGAGTTGCTCGGCCAACTGCAGAACACAGGATCAGTTGGGAGCTAAGTGGACCCCGTTCTAAACCCACTACTTCTCAGAAAATCTGGTAGCGCCGGGAATCGAGCCCGGGACCTCTGGATCTGTGGCCAGGAACTCTGACCACTAGACCACAGAGGCAGTCCGATAAGACTATAACGAAATGTAAAATATTTTGGTATGGTATACAGGTCACTACTCCGGGGCCATGTGCCTGAAGGAGTTAACTCGGTCATCCGAAAAAGGCTTCAATGAGTTGGACACTTAAGACTGTAGGAAAGGTTCGGTCTGAACTTGACAGTGTTCAGGAACATATGTAATTGTTAGGTAGCTGAAAAGGAGAGACAGTAGCTGAGCTACAGTGTCTAATATACGAACTAACACTCACGATACGAAATATGTACTAGTGCTTATGTTATCAGCAAGGACAACAGGAAATTTAACGAAAGGATGAACAGTGATATCAGAACTAATAATACAAATCCCGCCGTCAACGCAACTATAATTTATTATCTTCCACTACATGACACTTATAGGGTCTGACCATGTAACATAAGTTAATAAATTATAGTTGCGTTGACTGCGGGATTTGTGTTATTAGTTACAATCACGCAACAGGATGCAAACATTAAAAACAGTGATGTCAGAATTATTAACTGGACAAACAAGTCTATGTGTGAATAGAAAACGCGATTTTCTCAGATGTAGCAACACAGAGAATTCTCAGTGCCATAATTACATTATAATAATGCGATCATGTGTAATGAGCTGTGGGTAAGTATCCTCAGAAAGCAGATCTTCAACGGTTAGAGACTCTTACGGCCGAACTCGTACTATCAGGTAGATCACACCTTTCCCTTTGCTCGGTTCCAGAATATTTACTATCCTCAATACTTAGGCCATGCCATAGCTCAAGCGGTTAGTTGCTGGCTTCCCACTGCTGCGGCCCGGGTTCGATCCCGGGTCTGGTCAAGTGGGATTTGTGGAGGAGAAAGTGGTGCTGGGGTAGGTTTTCTCCTGTTTCCCCTGCCAATCTTCATTCCACCATCATCATAATCACCCGGGGGAGGTACAATAGGCTAATCAGTGGCCGCCGTGCCGAGTGGACGTACCTGAACTCCACCCCCCCACTATGCGAATTAATTAATCCTAAATACTTAAATATTCTCATACAACTGACGACAAGTACCTACGTAAGTACATATATGAATTATTAAACGATTTACTTTCCTTATATTAATTTGGTGCTTGAAAATAAGTTCTCTGTTTGCTCTGGCATTGAACTCTCCTAGTTTTATCTTTTTCATGTGATACTTAGAGTTCTAGTTTCCCATAGAAGTTGTCGTTTATAACATTAGTTTTATTCTCGGCTGAGGAATGCACATTCAGGGCAATAGTATCACACCAATGACCCCTTAGCATCGCATAGAGCTCAGTGTCACCAACAAACTCTACACTCTACCCTAATTAGTCTGTTAGCACCTGCTCACGCTGGTTGCTCGCTCGCAGATTTCATTTCTTTTCTTCTACCCTGAAGAAGGAGGCGATACGTTCCTCCAAAACGTCGGTTACCACAATATCTAAACGGCGCCACATCCCAGAAGACTGCTTTCTTCATAGTCACCGCCGTGAAAACCTCAAAAGTTACAAACTCTATCCTCTTCACTGCTAATATCATTCACTTGTGTACGAAAAATCCTGTCCCGTAGTTATCGTCATTTTCCTTTCAATTTCCAGAGAAAAAAGCACAACCGCATGCTGGGTCAATGACATCACTGTCCCATCTGACCTCCTGTAATCCCACCAAATCTAAACTACACTCAGCTGTCTATAAAGACCCCTTACTTTCTTTGTGCCACATCTCATGTACAATTTCGGCTGCTTGGGTTTTTCTTCCAACCCTCAAGCTGCAGGACCACCCCTTGCCTGCTGTCAGTAGGTGCTTATTTAGCATATCCGGATCTACCCTTCATATCTGGAGTCCATTTCCTCCATCTGCAACCTGAGAATGCATCATGTCGTGATGACAAGAGATAGATTGTACATGCGAAAGCGGAAGTTTAAGTCCCATATCCTGATGTAGAAATAATCAAGAATGACCAGCGTCGGAAACAGTTCCTTCATGCGCAGAACACCGTGTTGGGTTACTGCGCACATCCTTTGTTCTAAGTTATAATTGTGTTTTCCTTCAGTATGTTGGTTCTAATAGGAAAGCTTCTGGCTTTTATCTGGGATTCTACCCGTTCCAATCTCAGCAAGAACATTGAATATTATGTTAAAGTTTCTTACGGTTTTCCTCAGTCCCACTGCGCAGATGCCGGAATAGTACCTCAAATTAGGTCACTTCATTTACATCCACATCCCTTTCGAGTCATCATTCCCCTACCATCCGTTATATCCTTTACAACTGACAGTGTCGTTAAACAAACCATAAATAAATACATAAAATTTTTATCTTTAAATCTTTCAGCAATTAAACCATTTTTATTTTGATATTTCATTTCTCTTTTGTTACCTCTCTCTTTAGTTTTAAACAGCGTAAACAGCAAAATGATTTGCCAAAATTCGACGCATAATTCTGGCACTTCAAAAGTATTTGTATGATGCTTTATGAGTCTTGAAGCTTCCATGGCAGTCCTTGTCCACTGTAGAGTTTTGCCAAGCATCGGTAATTTTTGTCATTTCACAATGGCGCAATACAGGAGGAAGTTATCTCAATGACCACCACAATCTCATAATGCAGTGCAAATAGAGTCAATTAGTTAAATTTGTTTCGTGAGACTTGAAATTTTATATGCTATAATTTTATATGTGGAAGCTGTTAATCATATAAATATTTACAAAGAAGGATATGCACTCAATCCTCCATGTCTCCGACAACATAAAATGAAACTTGGTATTTTTTTGCAAAAATTTTGTTTAGAAATGAAAAATTCAATTATGAACAGATCGATGTTTGTATCCATAAAAGATTCCTTTCATGAATCTTTACAGAAAATGTGGTATTAACTTTTTGCTTTTTAGGAACATCGCATGGAATTACGTTCTAAATATAATAACATTCGTCAGCTTGAGTTCTTCTTATATCGGAGTATTTAAGCATGGGTCGTCCAATATTCGCTGCACGATCTCTCCGTCACGACTGAAATAAACTTGTTCCTAATGAATCAGAATATCTGAATCCTGTAATTCTGAGAGACATGGGGTGCTCGTTATGTGTGTATAGTGTGTTGCAGCACAAACTGGCTCTGACTGGTTGCTTTCAGACGAAACCTGTGGCGTTTGCTGTGCGGACTAACGTCAGTTACGATGGTTCTGTAGACGACGACTCGCCCGTGCACGGCAGCGCCATATCATTCGACGTTCGCGACTTCCTTCACATCAAGGTAAGCAGAACAAGCAGTTGCGTGGTTCCCAAGAAAATATAAGGTGAACTCTTATCCAAACAATATTCTTAGAAAAAATGGGATCGAAGAATTTTCAGGTCCTTAAAATAAGTGTGAAAAAGATGAGTTCTAATTGCTAATTATAATTAATATTTTTAAAATTTCTGGACACACATCAGGGGCACGCGGTAGCGCAGTTGGTTGAAGCACTATGCTACAAGCCGGAAGGTCGCGGGTTTGTGTCCCGATGAGTTGGACTTTTTCAATTTACCTAATCTTTCCAGCCGCACTATGGCCCAGTGGTCGACAAAGCCTCTAACCGAAATGAATACCAGGAATCTTCCTGGGAGTAAAGGGCATCCGGCGCGTACGGCTGACATACTTACCGCCATCTGTGAGCCGATTGTCTAAACGAAATGTGGGACCCTCGACGTCTCACAGCTCTTTGGCCTGTTACAGGGAAACCTTTACCTAGACATACATTTTGAGTTTATTGTTTTTAATGGTGCAGTTTCTTCTTCTTTTATGTTCATGGCCCTCTTAATGAAATGATATATTTGTAATATTCCATAATACATTCAACACATTATAAATCTTTATACATGGTATGGATCCATATCGGTAGTTCAATAACAAAACGTATTCCTATATACAACTGTCTGATGATGGTCTCATACGACAGAAATGTGTAGCAGGTATAAAAAATCAAATTGTAAAACATTAAAACTGAGTATTTTGTTGTGTTGACGGTTAGCATAATTCCTATATACATCTGGAACAAACAACAGGATGCAACCAATGAAAATGCGTCATTGTGTTCACAAATGCCGACCGCTTTACTCTATTTCAATCCAATTCAATCTGCTCCACATATTCACATCATAAATTTTCTTTCAGATCACTTTTTAATATCATCCTCCCTTCTTAGTTTCCACCTCCAAGTTACTTTTTCCCCTTAGGTATTCGACTAAAATTGCTTATGCATTTCCATCTCACTAGTTATTTGTGCTTACTCCATCTTCCTTTATTTGATCACTCCAAAAAATATTTATCAAACAATCCAAATTATGAAAATTCTGATCAAGCTACTTTATCCAGCTTCCTGTTCAAAAATATTTTCCTCTACCTCCCGTTCTCGAACGTCCTCCACCTCCGTTCTCCCCGAAGGTTAGAGACCAAATTTTACAGTCATACAAAGCAACAGGTAAATATAAAGAAAGCAGTCTTCTGGGATGTGGTGCCGTGTGGATATTATGTTAACCGAAGTGAGCGAGGAACCAGCGTGAGCAGGTGAGAATAGACTAATGTCAGGCTGGTTCCTCGCTCGCCGATTTTCCTCCTTTTCTTCTACCCTGAAGATGGAAGCGATATGTTCCTGCGAAAAGTCGGTTAACACAATATCTACACGGCGCCACATCCCAGAAGATTTGCTTTCCTCATAGTCACCGCCGTGAAAACCTCAAATCTTACAAAAGATAAATATGTTGCTTTCGTATCTTAATATTTACATAATACGCGACAGAAAGAGAAACAAACTGAACAGAATGCTACTTAGAAAGTGCTATTTATCCTAGATATCTGAAATCTGCCACATTTATTAGCTATGTCCATTTCTAGTGGGGTGGGACTAAGTCCCTTGCACTGCGGCCACTTCTGGCCTATTGTACCAGCCCCAGATGACAGGTGAGGGTGATTGTGGAGCAATTGGTGGAATGAAGATTGGCAGGGGAAACCGAAGTACTCGGAGAAAACCACTTCGTCCATCTCAAATCCCACTTGACGAGACCAGGGATCGAAGCCGGGCCGCCGCGGTGGGAAGCCAGCGACTAACCGCTTGAGCTATGGCGCGGCCTGTAGCTATGTCCATACTGTGTAATACAAATAAGACAAGGAAAGTCAAACAGTAAGTATTCAGTTGTTCCAGTGACCTTTGCTACGAGGTAGAATTGAGACGTGCAGTAAGTCGAATATGGCCTCCTCTCTGACACACGTTAGAACGCGGGCCCAGAAGCCATACTTGACATTATTCGAAGAGAATATCCCATGCCCCTAACGAGATTTGAACCTCGGCCTCTATATGGTGTCTGACACTTCCGTATTGGCATGCCACGAATCACAGATTAATGACTAGCAAATCCGTCGATATTTAGTCGGGAGATTGTTACGGTTATCAGCACCATACTTAGATAAACCGAACTTGTTTCACTGTGATCTTTTCTTATACATTAATAAGAAATTCATTCACACTTTGTGATCACGTTTTCATGAAATATGTATTTTATGGACTTGCAAAGATCTAGACAAATAGCTACATTTATACGGTATTCCACTAAACTGTATCTCGGCCAAAATGTGCATATATCTTGTACAAATCAGAGTTATTACACATGAAGCATATTGAACACACAGTATAAAAAAAACCGTGGTTGTAGTCCGCAAGCGAACTGTACCGACCGAGCGACCGCCGCTTGTCGGCGAAGTTAGCGCAAACTTTAGCGGATAGAAGGTATCGCGTGGTCAGCGCAACGGATCTCAACGGCAGTTAATCTCAATTTTCTAGACCGGCCGTCTCTTTTCGGTTCTCTAGACCGGAGCCACTACTTTTCCATTCAAGTAGCTCCTCAATTATCCTCACGAGGTTGAGTGGACCACGTTCCAGACCCACTACTTCTCAGAACATCCAATAGTGCCGGAAATCGAACCCGGACTTCTGGATCTGTAGCCAAGAACTCTGACCACTAGACCACAGAGGCGGTCGAATACAGTATTTGTGCATTAAATTACTGATATGTACTTTAAGCAAGGAAGACCAATGTCTCAGGGCACATCATGGCGCATGTTGCTTAATTAGACCATGCATAGAGAACACTTTAGGGCAAGTGTCAGGTCTTAAAAGAATAAATCTGCTTTCGTGAACAAAAATGTAATTCTCATCCAAACATATCCAAATACATTAACATTAGTTAACATTAGTACTAGTTACAAAAGTATCTCTTTGAAACAGAATTTTGTTTACCCATGATTCCCAGTGGCTGAACTAATTTGACTATTATTTGGAAGCACAGCTCATTCGTACTGCTCTTGCCACAACCGCCCCCACCTGCAGACGCTGTATTCGCTTTTGGAAACCTTGTCACAGATGACGGATCTGTCACCTTAGCGGCTGTCACTCCGTGCTCGTGGTCAATAATAATTATAGCTCTGCAGTGACAACTACAGACACAGATCTGGACCGGGCCATCTGTGGAACACACTCAGTGTGCCTAATCACATCTTTACTCAGACGAACGAATTCGTGTGAGAGAACATGACACATATTGCATACAATTATTGGTGTTGAAACGGTGTGTATATGTATAGACATATAATATTATGAATTATAATTATGTAAACTATAAGTTAAAAAAAAATCGATATTATCGAAATCCAAAAGCATTGCACAAAAATCCTTATTATTTTAATAATATATTTCAAATTAAATTTAAAAGCATATGTATTATATTCAACCCGCATGCAAATTATTATGCGTATCACTAGCCACGTGTTCTATTCTTACTTTTGCTATGCCAGTGTGGCATCTGTACCTCCTTCTGGTCAAGTGGGATTTGTGGTGGACAAAGTGGCGCTGGGGCAGGTTTCCTCCGAATACTTCGGTTTCCCCTGCCAATCTTCATTCCACCAATTGCTCCACAATCACCCTCACCTATCATCTAGGGCTGGTACAATAGGCCAGAAGTGGCCGCAGTACAAGGACTTAGTCCCACCCCACTAGCAATAAAAATAAATTATATAACACCTATTCCTTCATCAATGGTTCCTGGCAATCCCTTTGTGGGGGGGATTATTATTTCCGTCAGCGTTCAAACCCCAAATTCATAAAATTGCTTTGTTGAGAAGGGTAACAAGATCCTAACGACCGTGTCGGAAATCACAGGGTATTTCTCCCCTTTTCTGACAGCCAAAGTACTTGTATATCCATTGGTAATTCAAGAGGTTTCACTTCTGTCTGCCTTCAATTAACATTGTTTCTTGAGCCATCAAAGAAGCAAAGCTGGAAATACACTGAACAGATACCGAAACCCAGTCGAAATCTTCCACATTTTTTTCAAAATAATAAGGAAACTTGTGCTGCAGTGAGCTTACATTCCTTCAACAACACATATCAATTTACTGCCTTGGCAAAGGAGAACACGCCTGGGAACATCTCAGTGGACCCCTTGGCGACGTGTTCTAGCGACGACTTCAACTTATCGCGGAATCCTAGGATTTCATCCGTAATATTAAAGACATTTTCTTTCTTGACCCATTTTTCTATGAGTCGGGATAGCTTAGTCAGTACAGCAAACAGGCCACGGTCTAGACTGGTGGGCTTGAACTCCCAGTAAGGGCGCATTTTTTTTCTTCTCCATAATATCCAGGCCGGCTCTAGGGCCCACCCTGCCTCCTATCCAATGAATACTGGGAAAATTTTCTCGGGGATAAAGCCGCCGGAGTTCCTGACTACAGATCTATAGGTTCCATTCCCAGCCCTACCAGATTTTCTGAGAAGTAGTGAGTCCTGAACGGGGTCCACTCAGCCTCGGGAGGATAACTGAGGAGCTACTTGAATGGAAAAGTAGTAGCTCCTGTCTAGAGTATCGAAAACAGACGGCCGTGGGGATTCGTTGCGCTGACCACGCGACACCCTCTATCCGCTAAAGTTGGCACTAACTTCGCAGACAAGCGGCGGTCGCTCGGCCTGTATAGTTCACTTGCGAACTAAAGCCACGGAGTCTGTTTGATAGTGGGTGCACCAGTTTAGTAACCCACTTATCTTCAGCAAGTAACTCTGCGTAGTCGTGCTCCTAAAGGGTTAAGAAAAGCTAAAACTGCGTCACGAATTTCCAAAACACCTTTCATCTTGGCAAGCACCCGACTTTCGCTAGAAATGGGAGAGAAGTGGCTTCAGAACCCAGTTCCTGGCACAAATGCGAATGACCCGTGCACTGAGGTGACACAAT